CACGTGGGCCCTTCCCTTCCCTTCCCTTTCCCCCCCCTCCCTCTCTCCCTTCCCCCTTCTCTCCTCCTCCCCCCCCTCCCCCCCCCCCCTCCCCCCCCCCCCTCCCCTCCCCTCCCCTCCCCGCCGCTGCACTGCTTGCAAACAGGCGGATAAAACGCCTCTGTAAAATCAAACCATGCGAGCTTTTCCCCTCCGTAGGAGTATTAATGTGCCCGTGACAAAAGGTAAGCCCTGAAAGCGAGGACTGGGAAACATTTAGGCGGAGGAGGGGATCTCCAGAGATGCCAGGCGTCTGCGCTGGGGCCGTAGGACCCAGGAGGGGTGCGGACGCAGCATCTTCTGTTGAGGGGAGGAGGCAGCTGGGCGAGGGCCTCCCGTGCTTATCTTTTGACGCGAGTGTTGCAGAACAGAGCTTTTCTTTTTCTCGCTCTTGCCTTTCCTCCCACGCCACTCCTGCGGCGTTCGCTATAAGACACAGCGTGTTTCTATTTCCCCCCAGTTTAGGACTCCGTTCAGCCAGAGGGATTAACTTCGTTTCCCTTTAAGAACTTTTCCCACCAATGACCAAAGCTGCTTGATGTTAAAGTCAAAGCACTGGTTATTTCTCCAAGTCAGCTTGTTACTGGTATCCCATTTAGCCTATTCATACAGGTAAGTGATGTGTGCGTGGGTGTTACTCAGAATAAAAAAACATTTTTTACTTCGCTTGTAGTGATACAAGAGTAAACGTATCAGGCATTCATGAGGGAAGAGAGAAAGGGTGAGCTTGCAAATGCATCAAAAATGAGAGTCATAAAAGAAGAAGAGCTAATGAGGGGTTTGGAAGGAGTTTAGCACCCTTCTCTCTATAATACCATTGGCGCAAACGGTTGTTCTTTGCTGCAGATTATCGGATAACGTTTTTGGCATGTTAGAGATGAAATTGGTATTATGGCAGCATTTATTTTAAGGTATGTTTCCTTTGTTCCATAGCAAATAATGTCAAGGGCTGCCTGTAGGTTTTGCCGTCTTACTTCTTTGAAGAGCTGCATATGGACGTGACTGTATCCGTTGTTGAAATACATTTGTGTTGTAGGGCCCTTGGCATATTTTGTCCCCTTCAGGTTCGTGGGGCTGCTCCGCTTTCTCGCTTGGGGCCTTCGGGGCAGGCAGGCTGCTCATCGTAACCATGTTGGACTTTGCGTGAGCACTAACCCGCCAGAGTTTCTGAAAACCTCCAGCCAAATAATATCCTCTGGAAATGCAAGATGGGAGCTGTGGTGCCTCATTCGCACCTTCTGGCCAGCCTTCCTCTTGGAAGCCCTCCAGAGGTTCTGGACTACAGCCTCCATTACTCTGAGCCAGTAGACTGTATCCAGAGAACGTCAGTGCTCTGGAAAGGGAGGAAGTGCTGTTCCATGTAGCCTGCATGCCTGAAAGCCACTTTACACAACTTTGATTTGTCATTTTATCCAGGACAGGGCTTATTCTAGAAACACCTTCCTTTTAGTTCTTTTCTTCAGGTCTGAGCTGACTTAGAAATAGCTTCCTGTTGAAAAGGGTTGGCTCTCTCTCCACTCCTCAGGGATTTCTCCTCCCGCCTGTAGATTAGTGAACCCATAGTAGAGGGGTAACACTCTCTCTTCTTTGCTGCTCAGCCTCACGCAGTGGCAGAGAATTCAGGGCTGGGCTCAACCAGGGAGAAGCGCACAGGTTTTGTGCACGTATTCTCAAAGCCCCAAGCTCAAATATTTTTGATTCTGGGGAAGACCTATCTGAGGTGTAGGCATTTGGAGACCGCTAGATGGCGGCAGAGATAGACGGGAAACCTGGCCCTCTGCTGCCATCTTGTGCCGCTCTGGGTTTTGGCAGCCCTGATTTGGTAACCCCGATTGTGCTGCTGCTTATAAGTCATTTACTTTTGTTTCCCTTTGCTTTCGGCTTGTTATGTGACTGTAAGTGGGAAAATAAGCTCCAGATTTTTCTCCTCCTCTTTCTCCTCTACCTTCCCAGGGTCCAAGCTAACTATTATTGCATTTTTGGAAGAGTCCCTATGCAGTGTGTCCTTTAGCAATTACCAGCTGGGTGGTGGCGTAAGCTTCTGTGTCCTTAAAGAACGGAGCCCGGACGAATCGGCTCTTCCATATGCGAGGTCACAGTCCAGGAGCGATGGCGGTGGGCTGCAGTCATGCAGGATGAAGCCCTGAATGGTGGGAAAGGAAGTAAAGGAGTTGGGAGCAGGCGGGGGGAGGGGGAAGGGGCCGGTCATCAACATGAGTCTTGGCGGGGAGGGGGTCTGGCCTGTCTTTAGGAAGGATTCCCCCCCCAGCCACTTGGGGAGTCTCAGGGGAAAGCAGCAGCTTGTGTTCCCCAAGGGGTAAGGAGGGGCGAAACAGGGTGGTACCTTAGATAGCCATCCCTGTTCCAGACGGGAACTATGCAGCTGCGGCTGTGGGTAGGTGCAACAGCTGTGCATGTCTCCTGCATGTGGAAAAAGTTAAACGCGGCATCTGGAAAAGCCAGTAATGCATGCGCAGCGCCCCCGCCCTCAATACGCAGTCCCTGTGCAAAGGCCCACTCGTGCAACCTGCGTAAAGCTGCGGGCGCTCTTGGATTCACACCGATATTTAGAGCTCTGAAATTCTACGATGTCTGCCAGTGTCTTGGCATTCTCTGACGTACCCGTATGGAAGGAGCAGAGCTTAATCCGAGAGAAAAGAGCCTTAGTGTGACCTACTACCTTTTTCTTTTCTTTTTTCTTTTGGCTCATTTGTTTCAGAAATTCTG